TGAAACTCAAAACTTATAGAAACTGAATTCTTGCAGCTCTGAGTCACCATACTTGAATTCCAAGACAAAATCTATCCTGAAAATGACTGGATGCTTTTAGGACTTGGACAAGCAATTGAAAAAAAAAAAAAAAAAAGACTTTAAATAAAAACTCATGGATGTGGAGTTCCACTTTAACGAGGTGCTAAAATGAACAGTGAAGCGACGACAAAGACAACTATGCATCACATGAAGGCGTCCAGAGCTAACACAGCCAGGAAACTGTTGGTTTATAAGACAAAAAAAAAAAAAAAAACATCCTAACATCACACTGTCATGCAAAAGTTGTACATTTATTTGGGATGACAAATGACAAAGATGACACGTCGCACTGATAAAAATCCACCTGCTCCTGCATTTAGAGGTGCAGCACTAAACCCAGATGGATGTTTGTCTTGGGTGATGACGATGGGCAGAATGATGATGGAGCTGCTGGTAGCCACCAGTTATCACACGGTGGTGTCTTTTTCCACTGAGCCAAGGAGATCATCGTCTCCAACTGTTCTCATCTGCTGATACAATCTGATAAAGACTCCATTAGGCTGCTTTGTGACATTCATGCATGTTTAATTTGCCCAGATGATACTTAAATGGGTAAAGTTGTCATGAAATGAAACAAGATGTGCCATATATTAGAATACTGGCTTTAGATGCAACCTGCTGATACAACTCAAAGTTATCTCTTTTTATACATTGCATTACTTTTTTTTAATAACCTAAATACATATATTTTTTAAATACTATTGAATCACACTACTGTGTCTTCTTAAGCGTTGATCTTTTTTCCCCTCTACTTTAAAAAAAAGGTGATTTCCATGAATAAAACCACGTTTCTAGTAGGTATTATTAGGTCAGCAGAACAGATGGGGTAAAAAGAATGAGCTTTAAAGCCTAAGTAAAATAATACAATAAAACCTTTGAATCTGTTCTCAATCCTGCCTGTAAAACATTCAGGCCAATTCACTGGCATGCTGGAGGGGGAACACAAAATAATCTTAAATGTTCGGTTTTCACTACGGTCAGCACAGTCCACTGTGACACAGAAAACTGATTCATTTATTTTCCCTCATTATTATTATTATAACAATGAAAAGCCTTTAACTGAGAGGAGGTGATTATTTTTACAGTTTAGCGCTTCCTTTTGATTTAAATTCAGAACCTGGGTGTCTGCACAACTTCAGCTTTACAGAGGGTGTTGTCCTACAGGAAGTCATTTTGGAGCCTGCTGGTTGTATTTTTTAAAACATTATGTTGTAATGAGCAGAAGAAGCAGATCAGGTGGTTTGCACATACTTCTGAGTAAGTAAGGCGATAAGACCCAAAGCAGGTTCTCCTGGTTTTCAAATCATAGCAAGTCCAAAAAAAAGCTCCAGCTCACAACACCACAATGTGACAAAGACGAATGGAAAAGCATAATTAAAATATGCAATCCAATAAGGATATTATGAATTATTTAGCTTCACTGGGTTGTTTTGCACTCAAAGAGATCCACCCCATCTAAAATTACAGAACAAATAAATCATTGTTAATTACTTTTGAATGACCTAGTGGCCCCACTGCGACTCGTTCCAATTAGGTACAGGTTATTAGTCACCCAGCAGAAGGGAGGGATATATCATATGGTAAAGCTTTAAAAATCAATGGGGCTCACTGTAACTAAACACAAAGTGGGAAGATGATAATTGATTATTGATTTAGTTTAAAATGGGAACAACTAGACCCGCAGGGCATGGATCCTCCTAACGCTGGAACATTTCAAGGCTTTCGTGAACAAAATCTGTCAAAGCTGGAATTCCATCCCAGCTTCGGGGCCCAACCATGGACTCCATTCTGCCAAGCGGGGGGGGGGGGGGTCAAGTACACAAGGATCTATTGTATATTGAAGATGAGGGTAGCCTCCACTCAACTCCATTCCACCCTGCCACACATCCACGTCATCAGAGTAGTGAACAATAGAAAGAAAGGCATTACTTTGCCCTTTCTCTCAGTTCCTCTACGATCCTGCCAGCCTAAATGCCAGCGTAATCATAAGCAAAAGCCAGAGCCAAGCTTTAAAAGATCACACGAGCCCGTGCGATCTGGAAACGGGATGAAACACTAACTGTCTGACGACAGCAGTAGGAACTGTCCCTGCTAAAAAGACAGAAATGGACTGAAATAGCAACAGTGTGAAGAGATGGGATTACAATACTGAACGGATGAAGAAATAAACAAGTGGATAAGTTCTTGTGCCACATTTCAGAAACATTAACCCTCAACACCAGCCTCTATCTGTAACTCTTAATGCTTTCTGTCAGTCTTGTCATTCCCAGACCCATTTAGGGCAAAGACCAAACACCAGAACCCTTTAAGAGTCAGTGTCACAGAAAGAGCACACCGACTGTTACCCTGCACTGCTGAGAGATTTAGAGCAGCGTCTGCACTGGGCCAGGGATATTTAAGATGGTTACCATGCTGGCAGGTCTCTTTGAGCCCTTTGTGCTCCCGTCTCAGCTTCTTTAGCTGAGCAGGGAGTTGACACCTGTTCGGGGCCTTGGGGTTCCCAGCACTGAGCTGTTATCCGGCCACGAACACTGGCAGGCTGCCCACTGAGCACTGGGAACAAAAAAGTGGATGAAAAAGCTGAGCTGTGCATAAAAGACTTTATATTCTAATTAAAAAAATAATTATACTAGTTTGGAACATTTTGTTAAACTAACATTGATTTTAGGGGAGTCTTTTGATTTGTGCCACTGGCTGCCCTTGACTGTTACTTGTGGCCTCCAAGTTATTGCTCCAACCTTTTTCACTTGGCTCAAAGCTAAAATGTACTAAGTGATGTTGTGGCGTTTGGTTTACAACTTACTCCATGACAATAATGGGAACAGATCCTCAACAGAGCCAAAATTAGAGACCAAGTACCTCTAAGTAAACAGTTGGTCCCATTAAAGCAAAGCAGAAGGGCAAGAAATAAAATTAAAAAAGACATTTCTATTAGTTCCACCTGTTCGTTTTCGTTTACGCAGGTGAATGAAAATAATTCAAATGATAATGCAAAATAATCTGTCAACTTTACACTTGTAATCAATCAATTACTGAATCTAAAATTAGGCATTTCTACTTTATGCAAACCTAACCATTGACATTAAATCTATTACGCATTTTTGATTCCAACTAAACATAAAAACAGCCTAAACAAAAAAAAATAAATAAATAAAAACTCCATTGGAAGCTCTGCATGTGTATATTTGCTACAATGAAGGCAACAATATTAAGGATGGCTGCAAAAGTTTCAGCTCGCTCTTCAGTTTTTTTAAGATCAATTAAATCTATATGGTTGTGACCAATTTTATTGGGTTTCTTTGCACTTGTTGACCAAAGAATCATCTCCAAAAGTACAATTTAACAGAAAGCAGGATAGTCGTGGCAAAAATATTTGTAAAGAATACCACTAAATTTCTCAATTTCAACACGAGCAGAAACAAAATTAGATGTTTGCAGAAGAACCGGAACTATGGTGAAGCCAAGTCTGACACCAAAACCACATTGCTGTTCACACTGTGAGTAAAAAAAATATTTTGACTTCCTGCTCCGATGAATAATTATGTCAAAGTTATGAAGTGAGTGTCTCTTCTCCTGACTGAAGTCCTCCATATCCTGCATCATGATGAGTTTTGATCACCTGACTCCCAGCACGTATAACGTGGCAGGCCACTTTCTACATGACTTCACCACTCCAACTCGTTTTCAATGCCAGAGTGCAGACAAGAAGCTCCACATCCTGTCAGCAGAGAGCATGGAGAGGATACAGAGCAAAATGGTGGGTGGCTGTGAGGAAGTTGGTTATTCAAAGCCTGCCAACAACCCCAACCATGCAGAGTTCCTCTTTTTTTCCCCTCCAACATCATCAGCATCAATGCACAGAGATGCTCTTCTTCCTTTTGCTGCAGCACACCAAATAAGTACAACTTTTCTGGCACTGTGAGTTGGTAGAACACCACACATATGCTACAATGGATAATAAGCTGCAAGTATTTTTTATGGAATGAATGGCTAGTTGGGTGCTTTACTTGGTCGTTTACCTCATGG